GGCGTATGGGAGGCATCTTGCAGTGGCGAACCGGGTATAGTCCCCGCCCCCGGGGGGGTTGTCGGGACGGTGGTGGTGGTGGGGCTGTGTTGGGAGAGAAGGAGGCGTCGCGGTGGGTGCAAGGGGGCTCGCAGCTAGGGAGGGGCTGGTGCCGCCCGCCCTGGTTCGCTGGCGCGCCGCCGGCGTTGGGCCGATTCTTCGACCTCGACGGTGGACCTCGGCGTTCGCTCGGCTGGGCGGTGCCGCCGGCCGAGCCCGCGGTTCTTTGGTCTGATGGGGAGCGGCGTAGTTTTTGGAAGTGCGACGGGAAGCGGGAGCCGGAGTGGGAGCGGGTTTTGGCAGTGGTGGTGGTAGCGACATGCGTACATGGGGCTGGGGACGGGGAGACAAAGCTGGCGCGTCGAAGCGGGAGTGTTAGTGGCGGGGAGCACGTCGTCGACGGAGAGGTTGTTGGACGGGCAGGAGCCCAGCTTTTTCAGTGTTGTGCTAGGCCCTAGGAGGGCCCTCAGGGTTGTTAATGGGCTGGAAGGGGACAGAGACAGCGGCGGTGAGTAGGGCGACGAGTAACGAGTAGAATCTCTTAGTTTTACAGGTAGCGTTGTGCGTCCAAAGTGGTGGTTTGAATACACTATCTCTTGCGTGCAACTAGCACCAGTACATACATGGCATGTGCGTATGGAAATAGATAATAGACTGGCGACGGTTATGGCCTGCGTCGCGCTGGGTGTCTGGAATCGGATGCCACGCCATGATATTACCCCGTAGAGCAAGCGCATGGCTCGATCCAGAACCCGGCCCGTCCGCAATCTCCAGGGAAGTCTGGGGATGTGAATCCAGCACATGATGGCCCGTTGATATGATCGCGCAGTCCAAACAACATGTCGCGCGGGGCATACGCCCAAACTGTTCGAGTCGGCTCGAGTTTGGGTGAAGGGACAGTCGTCATTGGAAATTCGGTGGCTAACGCAACCCGGCCCGCGGTTCCGAAATAACGCCGCCTGAAAGAATACAAACGAGGGCGGATGCAAGTGGAACTAGGTTGCTTGGAGGCAGCCTTCCTGAAGCGTTCCCCCGAGTGTCCGTGCCGTCGAGGCTCGATCTCAAAACCGGGATCAGGTAGGTATTAGGTCCGCGGAAGGAAGTAAGCCGTTTCGGGTTCGCATACAGGCGCATGTTCCTCGCCACGACGTCTAACAAACGCGATGCTTCCTCAGTGTTGCGGGCCTGTATCAGGTACCGAACTGTGTCGATTCCTAACCGATAGAGGTCGAGAATGTCTGCGTCAAGTACGCCTTTTATTTTCCAGTTTTTGCGGCTTGAGAGCAGCTCAACAGCGAGGCTCGGGGAAGGATCGACGGGGTGGTGCAAGTTGACAAGTGCCATCTCCAGCGTGGTTGACCTGCGCCTGAGCCTCCGTCCTACGGCGATGAACGGGTCGTAGAGCTGTGCAGGCAGCTTGTTGTGTTCGCCAGCTTGTGTCGTGGCTTCGTGAGCTAGCCAACTCCACGCTCCCTCTAGGATACTGGCGGGTAACTCCATTTCCTTGACTACGTTGTCTGCTTCTAGAATGGTAGCAAAAGCAGCTTCCAGGCCACGGCCAGAGCATCTCTCGGCCACGAAATCTCGGAGTAGATGTCGAGCTAAGACGTAATCTGGGCCGGTGTCTCTCAGAAGACGTTTGAGCCAGAGCCAAAGTACGTCATCAAGCCCCTCAGTAACGAGAAAGGGCAGGAGGGCCTTGACAAATTTTCGGTTGGAGAGGAACTCGAAGTCACGTTCCTGGCCAGAGGAACGGAGCCATTGCAAAACGAGCAGACCGGCACCGATAGTGGGCAATACCCTCCTCGGCGGCGGGTTGGCCGTGAGGGCGGACGTCTGGGACGGCACAGACGCGACGTGTATCAGAAACCCATGCGCGGTTGTTAGATTCATGAGCCCCCGCGAAACGGCTTTCTTAAATATGGCCTCGTGTGCAGCCAAGCTCTTTTGGGGGGGCCCGGGCACCGTCGGCGTGGCATGGCTGAAAAGCGGATTGTTGAGAACGGCGTGCACGTGCCGGTCGGTGGCTCGGGGGAGTATCGGGTGGGCAGAGGCGGTTTTGTGTTGGGCGGGAGTTGAATTGGCCTGCCGCGGCACGGTGGTAGAGGCTGGGGGAACCCAACCGTGTTCTCGGTCCAGTTGTAGGCGGAATGACGTCTTGATATTTTCGAGGAGTCGTTGGGACTCGCGCTGGTTCATGGGCAGTGGTTGGTGGATGCGGGGGAAGATGTCCCTGAGGGACCCGAGTGGCCTCGTTTTGTGCATCCTGGCATCTCCCGGAAGGGCTGTTCAATCAATTGGTTTCGGCGTTTCCTAGACACGAGCCAAATCCGAAATGGCGACGCGGCGGGGCGGTTTGGAGATGCCGTTGGGTTGAGCGAACCGAGTTGGATGTTGGCTGTGGGGACTCGAATCGGCTTGAAGGTGGGCTGCCGCTCCGAGCATCGAAAGAGAAAAGCGGGTCTCCCCAATCGAGCACCAAAGCGTGTAGCACAAAGTGATCACGTGCCACATTCTGCCGCTTGGTTGCAACCCAGCTGACGTTGTTGCGTTTGATTTGAGCGTCGCCGAGTTTTGGAAGGAGGGAGGAAGTGAGGTGGCAAGTCTTAATCCACCTCATCCACAGGGAGGGAAACACAATCAGACAATCAATTCCGTCAACACCAAAGCCCAACTTTACTGATTCCGCTGGGTATTCGTGATTATGGCAATGATACTGTAAAAGTCAGTATCTGAGTTGGTAATGGGTTACTTGTCACACCTGTCGATAGGCTGGGAGCATTCAGGTAACGAGTTCGTTGTAAAGAAACGCCAACTGCGGCGGGTTTTCGCATATGCATTTTCACGAGCCCGCAGGCGCCAGTTATCTAGGTAGGTACCTAGGGCACGGGAGAACAAGCGTCATTCCGCATTCTTGTGTGTGACCAGGTCACGATATAGCGATTGGGGCCATTGCACGATATTATTTCCTTTGATATCGGCAGTTGCCCTACACTGATATTCGGTGTCTCCGAGGTGTGTATGTACATACGAATAAGGGAGCCAGCTGATGGCTGGACAGCCCTGTGACGCACTGAAAAGGGACCCACAATCAATCGGGCGAGGCTGTAACGCCCTGTCACAGGCTCGCAGCTGCCAGCAGTGCACTGAAACCTGGGTGGCCTCGACTGCCCTTTTTTGGGCGGGCCAATTCTGAATCGCTAGGCAAAAACTCAACGCCGCCTCCGCCTCGCTTTTCCACTTGCACTTTCCTTCTCCCCATTCCAGCCACCACCCGGATCGATCCATCAACGGATTGCACCACGATTCGCTTCGCCCTGCGCGAGCCCCCATCTCCTTTCGCAATCCGGCATCTTCTTCGATTCTCAACCGTTTTATTCCACACCGCTATTGTCCTGTGGTCTGCCGTCGACAACGCGATCTGTTCGCCAGATTTCTTTTCACCCACCACATTCTATACTCGCACACGAACACACAACATACACACACACACACAACTCAGCAATGTCTGAGGTACAGTCCAGACCGTCTGCCCCCCGCGGCAGAGGCTCTGGCCGCGGTGGTCGAGGCGGTTTCGCTGCTCGGGGAGGAGGTCGCACCGGTGCTCGGCCTGCTGCCACCAATGGTGATTCCAAGCATGACACAGATTCCTCCCTGCCGACACTGGAAGACGAAGGCGAGGTCGGCCAGTTGAAGCAACAATATGGCAGCAAGGTTGCAGTCATCAAAGAAATGTTTCCCGACTGGTCTTCGGTCGACATTTTATTCGCTTTGCAAGAGACCGACGGCGACGAGAACCTCGCCGTCACCCGTATTGCTGAGGGTAAGCTAGGAACTTGACTTTCTTTGTTTATCCACCAGGTGCACCCTTTGCAGCGCTTTCTGCATCCACCCTTGTTCGCTTCTCTGGGATCGCCTCGACACCGGATTAAATCATGGGCTGTTGATACCTTGCGGAGCCCAATGCGCTAACCTGCTCGTTTCTGCATAGGAACCATTTCACAGTGGGGCGAGGTTTCCAAGCCCAAGAAGGAGCGTACGCGTCCCAAAGGCAAGGGTGATACCTTCACGACCACCACTGGCGACTCAGTTCCTGCGGGTCTACCTCGGAATGCCCGAGGTGGCCGCGGCGCCGACAGCGGTCGTGGCCGTGGTAGAGCCACCGAGCGCGGTGGCCGCGGTGCTGCGCGCGGCAAGTCGACTCAGGGCACAACCAATGGAACTCGAGTTAAGGACACCGACCCTCTTTCGGTGCCGACCGAGGAGGCGACCGAATGGAACACGCAGCCGGCCGAAGAACCGACCGCTTGGAGCGAACCTGCCGCAGCAGAAGCCGCTGCGACCACCGCTGCCTCGAGCACCACCCCCGCCGCATCGAAACCTGCCACGGTCCCCGGAGCCGCAAAGACGACCTGGGCGAGCATGTTGAGACAATCGACGGTCCCGAAAGCGGCCCCGAAGCCGAGGGAGGTCCCCACGAAGGCCCCCGAGCCTACCATTGACACCCTTCCCGCCCCTGAGCCGACGGAACCTGAGCCCGAAGTGCCCGCCCCTGTCGAGGAGCCCACCCCTGAACCCGAGAAGGAGGTTGTCGCGCCTCCTCCCGCTGAACGTGTTGCCCCCGTCGTCCCCGTCATCCCCGCCATTCCTGCCGTACCCCCCGTTGTCGTACCCGAGGTCGCGTTGGTACCGTCGCAGGATCAACTAACCGAAACGAACCTCGACAAGATCAAGGATGACTCGAACCCGCCAGTGACCGAGACCGCCGCCAGCGAGGCTGCCGACTCTTGGGACCCGCGGGGTGCAGCAGCCAGCGCGACGGGCACTCCTCTCTCAGCTTCCCAGCAACAGCACCGGGCGGCCGCGGCCACAAAGGCGTCGGGTCGCGCACCCATCCACCACCCCCGCCGCATGCTCGATCAGCTTGAGGCCGTCCGCATGCCTGGCAACCGTGATCAAGTTGACCGTGCTGCCGTCCAGTTTGGTGCTTTCAGCTTGAACGGCCCGATCGATGACGATGTTGACGGCGACCGTGAAGAGCCCGAAACTCGCCCCCAACCCCCCGAAGACTCGCCAGTCACCCACCCCCGAACGTCTCTTCCTCCCGCTCAACCAGCGCCGGTTCCCGATGTCTTCCCGGCACAAAAACCGGCGGCTTCTCAGATCCCGACAGGGCCTGCTGGTATGGACTTTCAGCACTTGCGCTACCTTGGCTTTTCAAGACTAACTGTTTTCTAGCCGCCGCGCCTGCCGCACCGCAAGGCAGCACGCCTTCTATTGCCCAGGGTAAGTTTATTCCATCCTCTCCCCACTACATCATCCACAGGCCATACCCTAATATCACCTCCAGCCACCGTACAACCGCCTGCCACACAAAACAACCAGCAGTTTGGTCGCTTCGGCCCGACTGCTTCTCAGGACGCCTCATCGTTCCCCGCGTCGAAGTCCTTCGAGCCGTTTGGCCAGCAACCTGCCGTCGCCTCGGCCACACAGAATCAGTTTGAGGGTGGCTTCCAAGGGCAGGGACAAGCGGCACAACCGCCAAGCCAGCAGCCCGGCGGCCCCTTGAGCTCCGCCCCCAGCGAGTTCTCTTCTTACTACACGGCGGATGCGCAGAACCGCTTCAACTACTATAACCAAAACTTCGGCCAGCAGCAGGGTGCGCAGGGTCAGCAGGATGCCGTGCCGTCGCAACCCCAGCGTTCGTTCAGCGGGTATAACGCACCCCAGAGCGAGAGTCTCAGCCAGTACCCTCAAAGTGGTACCCAGCACGCGCAGTCACGTTTCGGCGGTAGCACCACCGCTGACTCGCAAATCACCGGCACCCCCACGGGTACCCAAGCCACCACCCAGGCCCAAGCCGGCCCGAACACCCAGGCCCAGACACATGTCCAGCAGCCTCACGACTACCCATACAACAACAACCATCCCTACTACACGAACCCCTACTATTCCGCTTACATGGGCTACCAGGGAGCCTATAACCAGGGCGCTTATGGCGGACCTTACGGCAAGGGCGGTCTTAACTACCAGCCCAGCCAGTATGGCATCACTCCTCAAGGCCCACATGCTTTCTCGTCCCCCGCGGGCGCCTTCGGTCAGACTGGTCTCCACCGGGACAATGCTGCGGCAGGGGGGTTAGGCGACTATGGCCAACGCGCCGGTTCCACCCCTTCAGGCCAGCAGGCTCTCGGAAGCGGATTCGGTGGTGTCCATGACTCGTTCAGCCGCGGTGGCTCCACTTACCAGTCCCAGGGTGGACAATCGTTCAATGCGCCCGGCTCTCAGCCCGGCACAGGGCCCTCTGCCGCCGACGACCTGAAGCCCTTCGGCGATTCTAAGACTGCCGGTGGCCCGAGTCCATCGCTCGGCGCCGCCGCCCGCCCTGGCTCTGCGGCGAACAATGGCCCGTCGCAGGCCGGTCTTCCCCCTCCTCAGTCGAACCAGCAGTCTGGCCTTGGTGGCATGGGCGGCTACGGCTACCCCAGCCACATGCAACAACAGGGCCACGGCCTCCACGGCACCCAGTCCGGTGCGGGAGGCTACGGCATGAGCGCCAGCGGCGGCCAGAGCCACCAGAACAGCTACGGCGCCGGCGGCTATGGCGGACAGGGCTTCGCTGCGGGCGGCTATTACGGCAATCAGCCCCGCGGCTGGGGCAACAACTACCACTAGGAGGATAGTAGGGGTGGACCCCGTGCTCCCGCCTACGAGCCAAACGAGCACAGCTGAGGGGACGACGTGACGTATCATGGGTGGATTTGACGGAAGGGGGATTATTTGACCAGAATGGGGGCGACAATGCATCGGGATTTTCTATTGATTGCCCCGCCGGAGTTCGCGCAGTTCACGCAGTTTTTGCGGTTTTGCGGTCTCGCGTTATCACGAAAAACAAAGGAAGCTTTTCCATAGGCGAAGAAATACGGGTCGACGGGCCCTGACCTGAAACTCAGGCTCTCCGCCTCTCTCTCTCTCTCCCTTTCTCTCTCTTTTCCCTTTTTGCATCTGTGTACGATTCTTGGTGGTGGTGGCGGTGGCGGCGGTGGTGATGGTCAATGACGGCGTCGGACACAATCGGGATTATCATTATGCTCTCTGTTTTGTGTGTGTGAACGAAAAACAAGCAATCGCGTTTTAATGATCAATGGGTTGGCGGAATGGCTAGGGCGGTCGGTCACAGGGTGGTTGGGGGGGCGGGGGTGAGGAGGGGCACAGAATGGGGCAAAGAGACCGTATTCTTTCTACACCAGCTCATCATCATCTGGGACATTGGGAATGGAAAAAAAAGGGGCTCTCTGGTTTTAGTCTGGGTCGGCGTCGCTCTGTTCACACACCCGCCTCGCTCGTTTTGCTATTGAAAAGACCCGATTCGTCATTAGCAATAAGTTAATTGATCACTCAGGGGCATTGATGATATTTTTTTCACAGTAGCTTAAGCAGGCAAGGGCTTCAACAGATGCTATTCCATGTGGAGATCCGATCGTTGTGCTTTATTGTTTTTCCACAGTCGCTAACTACGTTGCTTTAGTTCCCTTTACCTGGCAAGAGACATTTGCATCAATCCATTCATCCCAATCAACCCCCAAGGATTTCTCGTCTCTCACAAGTTGGCATACGCCTTGAATGCGCCCAACAGGCCGCCGGTCGACCCGTCGTGGCCCTGCCCGGCACCGGGCTCGTCAATCTCCTTGAGGATCTTCTTGGCGAGCACCTTGCCCAGCTCGACGCCCCACTGGTCGAAGCTGTTGATGTCCCACACGGCGCCCTCAGTGAAGGTCAGGTGCTCGTAGTAGACGATGAGGGCGCCGAGCTCGGCGGGGCCGATGGCGCCGCCGACGAGGATGCTGGTGGTGGGGCGGTTCCCGAGGAAGACCTTGTGCGGGACCAGGTGGTCGGGCACGCCGCCCTCGGCGCGCACCTCGTCGGCCGTCTTGCCGACCATGAGGGCCTCGGCCTGGGCGAGGTAGTTGGAGGCGAGCATCTTCTGATGCAGATTGTCCGACACGGGGTTGTGCGACCGCGCGGCCAGGATGAAGTCGGTCGGGATCAGCTTGGTGCCTTGGTGCACCAGCTGGAAGAAGGAGTGCTGCGCGTTGGTGCAGGGCTCGCCGAACAGGATCGGCCCCGTCGTGTACTTGGCCGGGGAGCCGTCCGATGTGACGGTCTTGCCGTTGGATTCCATCGAGAGCTGTTGGAGGTAGGCGGGGAAGCGGTGCAGGTACTGGTCGAAGGGGGCGACGAGGTGGGTTTGGGCGCTGAAAAAGTTGGAGTACCAGACCGAGAGCAGACCGGCGAGGGCGGGGACGTTCTGGCGGAGAGGGGTCTCGCGGAAGTGGTTATCCATGGCGTGGGCGCCGGCTAGGAACTTGTGGAAGTTGTCGTAGCCGATGTACAGGGCCACGCTCAGGCCGATGGCACTCCAGACCGAGTACCGGCCGCCGACCCAGCTCTCAAAACCAAACATGTTCTTTGCGTCGATGCCGAACTTGGTCACCTCGGCCTCGTTGGTAGAAAGGGCAACAAAGTGCTTGGCAATGTCCCCCTTGCCGCCAGTCTTCTCGAGGAACCAGGTCTTGGCCGTGTTGGCGTTGGTGGTCGTCTCGGCGGTGGTGAAGGTCTTGGAGGCGATCAGGAAGAGGGTTGTCTCAGGGTCCGAGTTGGCGAGCGCCTCGGCGATGTGGGTGCCGTCGATGTTGGACACAAAGTGAAGAGTCATGTCCTTCGCGCCGTAGTGCTTCAGGGCCTCGGTGACCATAACGGGACCGCTATCATAGCATGGCGAGTCAGCAGGACGTTCAGGGGCACGGAACCAAACGGGCAAACAAAACAACTCACAGATCAGACCCGCCGATACCGACGTTGATGATGGTGGTAAGCTTCTTGCCCGTGTATCCCTTCCACTCGCCGCTGCGGACCTGGTCCGAAAACTCGCGCATGTGCTTGAGCACGTCGTTGACGCCGCCGGCGGTGTTCATGACGTCGACGCCATCGACCTTCATCTCGGCGTTGCTAACGTTGCGCAGAGCAGCGTGGTAGACGGCGCGGTCCTCGGTGAAGTTGATCTTCTTGCCAGCAAACATGTCATCCCGCTTCTGCTCAACGCCGGCCTGCTGGGCGAGCTTGATGAGCAGGCTCAAGGTGTCCTCGTTGACGATGTTCTTGCTGAAGTCGAACAGAATCTCGGTGCCATTGGGCTCGGACGAGATGTCGGCAGGGAGGGTGAACTTGGTCGAAAAGTTCTGGAAGCGGCTTTGGTCGGCCTTGAAAGCATCCTTGAGAACGAAGGTCTTGCCGACCTTGTTGTGGTGAGCCTCGAGCTCGGCCCAGGCGGGAAGAGTGTTTGTAGGGGCCATCGTGAAGTCGTGTTTTGAGTCAAGCTGACCGTTGGCCTTTTCGTTCTGAATTCCGGGACAATGAAGGGCTCAAGCCAAGATACACCGCCTGCTGCAGTTCTATTCTCTACTCTATTAGAATGCGCGGAATGTTGAGCTCGGAGAAGTATTCGGGTTGGGAAGTGGGGTGTGGGGTGATTGATATCTTGTGTTAGCTGCGAGCTCGACTGCCCCGCAATGCGGGACCAGAACGGCAACTGCGCGGCGCTGACTGACTGACGTATCGGCGCCACAGGAGGGAAGGCGTGGGAGGTGGTGTTGGTTTCAGGAGGACAGAAGAAAGAGGCACGCACGCACTTACCAGAAAACACGCAGCAAAAACACACGAAGGATAGGGTATTTGACGAGAATAGAAGTACTTTGCGACGGCGTTCCCTGGGGGAGGTTGAAACTTTATAGAAAAAAGAAGAAATAAAATAATAATAGTTAATACAAATACAACTATTAATGCAAACCACGACGATCAAGCAGTCTTCTGTCTTGGGGACGTCACCATACATGCCCGGCCTGCCCCACCTTCGCGATAAATGCGTCAACCCCCTCGTCCGTTACTCTCCACAGCGGCGGATTTAGCCATTTTGCCTAGCGCGCTGAATAAGAGCCTCAGATAGCTCGCCCAGGTGGGGGGAGGGTTCGGGGCGGGAGATGGACGGGAAGTTCACACCATCGATCCCCTGAACAGCAAAATGGGAATTTAGCGGCTCCTCGCTCGGTCTCACGCCGGCTTCGGACGAACCAGACTGGTATGCTGAACCAATGCGGATGCTACGGCTGTGTGGCTGCCAAATTCTGATATTCTTTTTTTTTTCTCGTCTGCCTGACCCCCGCTGAAGTGGAAGGAAGTTAAGCGCGCATTCTAACACTCTTCAGTCCCAAAACACATCAAAACAACAACCGAAAGAAGGAACAAGTACCAGACAGAAAAAAATCCCGTTGACCATGCCCAACCGCCAAAATGTGAAAAATATGAAATGGTGCTAGCCGCTTTTCGCTTGCAAGCCCAAAACAAAGACTTGGCTACGCTATTGATGTCCCAGTACATGATGTGCTGCCCCGCTTTGGCTTGCCCGACCTCGCGTGTTGAAGAGCTGCCGTATGCCGGAGAACAGCCGCCCCTCGCCCCGGGCCCCTCCTCCTCCTCCACCCATGGCTACAAGCGCTTTCGCGTCGTTATAGCGACTCAGATGAAGCATCTCCTCATCTTAGGCTGCCCTGAATGCTTCCCACAAACGAGGGGTCTCTCACACTGCCGCCGGCATCTCCAAGACCGGCGATGGGGCGGTTGTAGCTGAAGCCAGTGAACTGGTTCTGCAGTGTCTCCGACAGGACCGGTCCATCGACGTATGAATCCTGGGGCAGCTCAGACGTGAATTCGGGATCGAAGTTGGCCGTGTCCAGCGCATCAACCTAGGCGTGTTTGGTTAGTTTCTTCTGCCTTCCATTACATTAAGGCGGGTGATATCGGACATACCACACTGGGCTTGAACGCAGGTTCATACTTGCGCTGCAACAGCTTCCGCCAGTCGATGGCATGGAAGAAGGGGTGCGCCTTGATTTCGGCAGACCCGTTGGCTCCCAGGCGCTGCTGCGGGTCACGATTGAGAAGCTTGGTGAGGAGGTCCTTGGCAGCCGGGGGCACGACCTCATGGCCCGGGAAGTGCAGGGGCTCGCTGAGGATCTTGCGGTACATCTCGTTGGTGTTCTCGTCGTAGAACGGCGGGAGACCCGTCAACATCTCATACAGCAGCACGCCCAGCGTCCACCAATCGACCGTCTTGTTGTAGCCGTTGCCCATCAACAGCTCGGGGGCCAGGTACTCGGGGGTTCCACAGAACGTGTTGGTCCGGTCCTCGTCTTTCATGTCGAGCTTGCAGAGGCCGAAGTCGCAAAGGGCAATGTGGCCCTGGTAATCGAGCAGGATGTTCTCGGGCTTGAGGTCACGGTAGATGACGTTGAAGCCGTGGAGGCATTCGAGGGCGCAGAGTAGTTCGGCGGTGTAGAAGCGACTGCGGTTAACGTCGAAGCGCTGCTCCTTCTGCAGGTGATGGAACAATTCGCCGCCGTTGACGAAGGCCAGGACGAAGTAGAGCTTCTCCGGGCTCTGGAAGGTGAACTTGAGCGGCACGATGAAGGGGTTGTTGATCTGGGCAAGCACCGAACGCTCCGCCAACGTGTGGGCCACTTCCGATCTCGAGATGATATGAGCTTTCCGGATCGTCTTGAGGGCGTAAATCCGGCTCGTGTCCTTCTTCCGCACCTGCATGACCTTGCCGAAACTGCCCTTTCCGACCACCTTGAGCAGCTCAAAGTCCTCAATCTTGAGCTTACCCGCTCGGTTCTCGACGTACTCGACGCCGATTTTGAGCTTGCCGGTGCCGTACTGCACGTCGACAAACTCGACGCCGCTGTGGCCCAGGGAGCGCTCACGGCTCGCGTGCTCCGTCGCGGCCTTCTCGCGGTCCTTCTTGCTCGCCTTGGGATCCTCCACGTACGGCTGCTTCTCCTCGAACCTGGGGTTGATGCGGACCACACCAAGGAAGATATCCTGGCTCCGGCCAGAGCCTGGTGGGGCGTTTGGGTTCCGAATGTAGAGATGTACCACGAGTTCCGTGACCCTGGACACGTCGAACTTGTACTGTGTGTTGGATCCCGCCCACAAAGGATTCTCAGGGTTACCCTCGACCGAGTTGACGAAGACCTGCACTTTGTCGAAATCGATCAAGGCGTAGGGCATGTATTTTGTAGAGATGCGGCCGTGGTTTGTAGGGATCCCGCTAAATCCGCCCGACGTCTGGGGGCGGCCGCCCATAAAAGCTGTGGTCCGGGACGATGATTGGGGCCGCGGCGAGCCCACCATGCCGAGCGCATTGCCCGTAGACAGGGAACTGCCGCCGTGTGTCGGGGTAAAGGCATTCCGGTGTTGCTCTGGGAGTGAGAACCCCTGGCCTTCGTGGAGAGTAACGACGAGGATACCGGGCTTGGGTGTCTTGACGACCGGCGCTTGGGAGAGGGCTTCCGAGGCCGCTGGGAGACAGGTCAGAACAGCCCTGAGGGGGGTTTTACGGGGGTAAGTGATCGAGGGATAGGGTGGACAAACCGATCGTGCTCTCGTTTGTGGGGGTCGCTGTCCCAGAGACGGTAGGCCCCTGGCTCTTATCGTCCTTTTCTGTGATGGTCGCCGTCGACGGGGATCGGGAGAAGGTGTTCGCGAGGGGACCCAGATGGGTCTCCTTCAGCTCTAAAGGGACGATGGTGTTAGCAACGCCACACTTCCACCCGTGGGGCCCGCAGCAGCGACATAGAATTCGCGGCAACGGTGGAGGCTCTCGGACTGAGCGGAAATGCAACGTACTCTTGGTTAGTTTCCACGACATGTTTGCGAAAGGGAAAGGGAGGGATTCCGCCGGCCGGATCTCGGTGTCGTCGGGCTAGAGGGTAATTTTAAAGGGGAAGGACGGAACCCAAAAATGAGGATCGGGTTCTAGGAGGGCTAAATAATAGCAAAAGCGATGGTCGATGCCGCGGCAGGGGAATTGCCGCCCAAGTTGGATCAGGTCGAGTCCCAAGTTAAGGTGACGGATCGGGCGGCCTGAACAGCAGGAGAGTTGTGGTGCGGGCCAAGCTGGGGGACGCTAACTTCGAAACCGCCGCAGTGGACCTCAGCGTGACCGTCGCACCGCCGGGGGCAGCGTGGGGCGTCTCTTCCAGGTTTACCTGAGCGACCAAAAAGAACCAACAAAAAGCCCCGCGGATTGCCCGGGCGGTACTTCGTAATGTACTGTGTATGTAGTTACATACGTCCATACATAACGATATACGTAAACAGCCAACGGTCCCTGCTCGCAAAGCGCAACGCCAGAACCTGAGACGCAGGCCCTGGGTGAAGCAAAACGTGCAACAGGCACGCTACATACGAGTCTCCCGGGTGAGCCAAATTTAGCAGCGGCTGTGTTGAGGTTGGAGATTGAAGACAGGAGATTGCCAAAGGGCAATCTCCCCTAGCAATGGGAAACCGGTGGAAACTGGTGACAACCACATAGTTTTTTGGGTTGATACAGGGGTTGGATACCCAGACCTGCGCCCCGCCCCCCGGAAAGAATAATGTGCATCCGTCAAGAAGCAAAAGATAGCTAGTTACACTTCTGGTGCGGCGTGTTTTGGCATGGCCACTGTCGGGCCTGCGAGGTTTGTTGCTTTAGCGCCGTTCCTAGGGTTTTTCTGTCATTGCTCGCTGGGTCCCATTCGCAATGCATCCAGGAGAGCGGTTGGCGATGCATAAAATATTCTTAACAAGCCAAGTTATCGTCCAGGGAACAACATACATACATACATCTAAACATACATAGCACAAAGCCCACCCAAGGTCTCTCACTCTCTGGAGCTGAGTTGCAGGCTTGCAGCGGGAGCGGGACGCCGTTCCCGAGTCGGCGGCATCGGCCACGAGGAAAACCACCCTTTCCACCATTAAAGCACAGCCTCGGGGTGGCAAATTGCAAGAAAGCTCCCTTTTTCATGGAGCGTCGGACTGAAGAGGTCGAAATGGAGCAGGGGCAGAAAGGGGCGAGAGGGGTTGCAGAAGACCAGTCCCCTGCTGGCGCTCGGGCCGTCACGTGGGATGCGGGCATCTTGACCCTGTCGAGCCTTACAGGCATGGAAATAATTGCAGCACCGTGAGCATCCGTGCTTCATATGGTGAGGTGCAAGTGGGTGCTAGGTTGTTTTGCTGCAAGATTAAGCGGCAATGACCGATCATTGAGTTTTAGAAAGGAACGGAACGGAATATATTGCGATGTCATTCAGAGACGACCCATTGCAATTGGCATGGTGGGGGAGAAGATGCCCGGGGCTCAAGGGAGGACGGACTGTGGGGCCGTCATCTTGTTGTCGTTGTCGTCGCACAGAGGAGCGACGTTTCTGCCGACCGCCACCAGGATGCACTTCGTGGAGGCGCCTGTCTATCCATACCTTACCTTACCTACCTTTCCAAATGGCTATCCATGCCTTTTTTTGCCTTTACTACCTACAGACGGGAGATCGATGGTCGGGTCTGCCTTTTGCGGACTGGGAGGCCGGGCCGGGAGCGAAGGAAACAAAAGGCTATCCGTCTCGTCCGAAAAGCAGTGTGAGAAGAAAGACAACCATTCACAGTAACCCGCAACCAGTGCTGGTTTATCACCATCGGCCTGGGATCGAAAGAAACCATCCCATAAATGATTCGTTTTCGCAGCCACACACGGGAGAAGATGGGGCCAATGATACCACCCTGTGTCAAAACTACAATGAGTCGAGCCTCCCTTCCTGGAACGCGACACATTGCAAGCGGCAGCTCAATGAATCTCTCTGTCACGGCGTCGATGAGGCGAGGACTACCAGACGCTTGGTTCGTCCCGGGCCCCTCGAAACCATAAAGTCATCCACATTCTCTACGCTCACTGTCCTCGACTCTCTCTCTTCCCCAACGATTCGAAACCACTCTGGTCGAAACCAACAACCAATTACAAACCATGACAACTGAGCAGTATACGGCCGAGATGCCTCTCCAGAAGTTTTCAGACTCGGTGGCTACGGCGCTCAACGCGGCTGGGATTCCTTGCCTTCTATGGGGTCACTATCTTTGGCAAGCTCACGGCATTCCAAGCTTATTCAAGTAAGCTGCCCCTTAGCGCCGTACCCAATGGAAGCAATCGATGAACGGCACGCTAACACTGCAAAGTCGGTTGATTTCGTTATCCCGGACGGAAGTGTGGAGGCTGCAAAAGAGGTCATGACAACTGGTCATTTCTCAGCACCTGTCCGTGCATGTCCGGATACAACGAAATGCACTCTGGGAAACTCCCCAGACCGACCACATCGGCACCCCGCATTCCACATGCACATGGTTGCTGGCTACGGTGTAGGCATCTATGTGCAATCCGAGACGCTCTGGTTCCTGCCACCACTGGACCCCACTCTCGCGAACCCCAAGTCCGATACGCTCCCGCCGTACCTTGCTTTCGCATGCGATCGGACAGCTTTGCCACCTGAAGCGCCCGGGTTCGGAATGGGCGCTTTTAACTCGGACGAGACTGTGGTCCTTGTCCCCAGGGCACACATCTTGACGGAAGCCTTGATGCGCATCATGGCCGTCGACTATGGTACGCCAATGGGTCTGTGGTCAGAACAGCACTACTGCTATATTGAACGATTCGTCGAGAAACGCGGGCTCCTGCATCTTGATCTGCTCCCCCGGCCGCTCGCCAACATCCACAAGGCGTTCAGAGATGGGCCAGAGTCAATCGGAAAAGTCCATGTAGAGTTACTGCGCACGCTCGGAGTCCCAGTTCACCCAAAGTACTACCACTAGGGGCCTTACAACTCCTGCTATTGTTGTAGGGTAGCTGTGCATTTCCAACGCAGCAATCTGTGATGGGTGATATACCTGTGACGGACAGAGACGCTTGAAGTTCTGAGGCCTAGTTGCGAAGCGGTCATTGGGCATTTAGCATTTGTTCCGTTGCTCTTCTTTGGCTTCGTTCTTTCCTTTGGTTTACTTTCCTTCGAATTGCACTTCATTCACCATTGGTATCTGCACACACATACACATAGGCACACTCGTTTCCCTGTTTTCCTCGTGGGTATCGAACTGTCACCTTTGGGATTGCGCTAGCTCCAAATCCCACTCCTCATTCACCCCCGTCTCTCTCTCGCCTGGCGCAAAGCCGACCGACAACAGGCATGGTCAATATGAGACAGATGCTGTTTTTTTGCTTGGCTGGTTGGGATGCAGGCTTGAGCCCAAAACAAGCGGCTGAGGCGGTCGGGAAGAGAGAACAAAGCTGTGGGCATGGCCCTGTAATTTCTGGACAAAATGAGTGGGCGGCGAAAGCTGGCGAGAAGACTTCTTTGTCTGTGTCCCTTGCGAGGCTGGCTTGACGCCCGATCATTGGACAGTGTTGGAAGCTTCAGTTGACCACGGCAGGACGGGGTTTTACAAAACATGGGCCACCGCCAGTGTTCGGCACTTTCTCCTCATCCCACACTTACTCCCCGATAACGCAACTGCTTCCGACGATTTGACCGATTCTCCCATCACTCCCAGCACCATGGACCCCAGCACCATGGAACCCAGCACCGTGGACCCCTCCGGTGGCCCCCTCCTCGGTGTCTCCGTGTCCGACCTTGAGACCACGGCTACGAGCGTTGTCCGGGCCCTTAAAACCTCGTACCCTAACGTTAGAATCGCTGTCATCGGCGGGCTTGCTCGGATTCACTACTGTGCGGCGGGCGTGTCACGCACGTGAGTTGAAGGGTGTGCCCCATTCGAGAACTTCTCAAACCTGATGTTGTGCCTAGGATGTGGACATCCTTATCGACGATACTGAGGACAATGTGAGTAAAATCGAGAGCGTCATCGGTGGTTCCATCGGCTTCCGGCCCAACAAATCCGGCGTGTTATTCCGCCGCTACATGTGTACCGGAAGTGAACCTCTCCTCGGCGAACTCCATTTCATCCCGCAGCATCAGGTAGGTCTATTCCTCGCAAAGGTGTTTGTTGTCCTCTCCAGACCTCAACAGTGGTGCTAAGCTGTTCTCCTCAGTTGCCTTACCTACCGCCCGACACCCAACCCGCAGGACAAATCTCACTCGACCGCGATGGCATTCCGTACATTTCGATCCCAGATCTTATCGTCTTCTACGTCTACGCCTGCGGCCAACAGAAGAGACTCAAGCAGCGCACCCGTGCCGCCGACGCCCGCGCTTTGCTTGAAAAGGCCACCACTGCCACCACACCACTCAACCTCACCGCAGTCCAGAAGGCTGCCGTATGGAGTGGGATTGACACCGTTCGAGAGATGCGTCCGCCTAGCGAAGGGGCTTGGTAGTTCCAGCGGCTTGGTCTGCCGTGAGAACCACAAGCAGGTGGGCAGGCAGACGGGCGGGCAAACGGACAGGCAAACGGACAAGCAGGAGGACAGCGATGCAGGCGATGCGGGTAATGAGGAGGGAAGGGAGAGCGTCGAAGAGAGGCGTCGAGGAAGCTGGTGAGGAGAGCAACAACATCACGTTGCCTCTTCTTTTCTCCTGGCTGCTCTCTACTTGGGTTTCTTTTTTTGGACATGGGCGCATTCAGATTGTGGGGAAGGATCGTCGGCGGTGCATGCATATTTCATTGGATCTTTTCTGGATAGATTTCTCACTTGCACTCATAATCGAAACATTTTTGCTGCCTGCTCTGGGAATGCCGCTGGGGGTTGGATTCTCCTGAACGCGCGTTCTGGAAGCTGAATTGTGAACGAATCTGACTGCTCTCTCGGTGTCAGTGTTCCGCGACGTCGTTGATGGGGTTCGAGTGCAGGAGTGGGGCACACGGGATCGTCAATGCACGAGCATCCACCAACAAGACTTGGCCAATCGGAAATAGCCGTTGTGGGCCGAGCTGGTCGAGCCAATCACTGCCAATGGACAGCACAAATCGATCTGCGCTGAGATGGCTCTTTTGAGAAACTTTGGAGAACATTCTGATGTGTAAGTTTTCTCTCCCGTCGCAAAACCAAGGGTCAGGTTTCCCGCCATGCATAGCTCAACCACCAAAGTTTGGGCCGCCTAGGGAAAGTACCGAGAGTGCATGTAAGCACTGAATTTGCACGTATTTTGCAGGTTCTTAAACACATGTTGTGCCTTGATCGATGCCAAAGTTGGTTGTTACCGGTGTGTTGCGTGACGATGAGTTGCCACGGGCGCAGGTGAGGACCTAAAGTTTCATCCCGCAACTTGCATTCATGCTGCAGAACAGGGTTCAGGCCATGCAGCCACAATCCACTCCTCCCTGACGACCCTGGTTTGTTCGTATATGCGCATGGCTTCAAGACCGCCATCACTTCTCACTCGACGGCAAAGCCGTGCCTCCTCTCGCGGAAAAAAAGCCTTCCATATTCTGGATTAATGGTTTCCCGAATACCGCCTTCCTGAGCCATCTCGCTCATGCAACACCGATGTCACTACGTGTGTGGCACGCGACTCGCCCCGGGATTGGTGGTGTGTGGTTTCAAGGTGTATCACCCTTCAACATGAGCCGCACATTGGTGGCGTGTGTAGGTTTGGAGAACTTCGGCACCCTTTCAGTATATTAACTGAATTGGTTCGAATTGATGCGGTTTTGCAGTGTTGGGAGAGTTTGGTAAGGTAGGTAGTTAATTGGAAAGTTGGCGGTGGTGGGGGCGGGGTTCGTTGACCGGCGGAAGACAGACCTCTTGCTTGGCGGCAATGTCCAAAATGGGCAATGAAGTCGATCTGTTTAGCGATTTTACACGTCCATTGAATTAAAGTCTTTTTGAACTCGTTGAGCTCAGCGATTCGAATGGCAATGGGTATTTATCAGAATCGAGATGTTTTGCAGTGCTGAGGAAGCCTCTTGCAGCCGGAAGGCGGGCCAGCTGTCAAGCCCTGTGGGCGACGGCGTCGTCAGGGGCGACGTTTAGGCAGGCTGCAACGGTGCCATGAGATTCGCGCAATCGGATCAAGACCTCGGACTTTTATATAAGGATAGCACAACCCTCATTTCCGCGTCCACCAGCACCTTCAATGCGTCGGGCAGAGGATGCCTAAACTAATACGACATTAACTAGAAGCCGCGTGTAATTCCCATACAAGACCTGCCGCCGTCCCCCAGCTCCATCAAGCAGCCACTTCCTCGAAATCACCACCAACACCACAATCAAACCAACCACACACCAACCAGCCCGACCTCCCCCCTTCAACACCACCACCCAACAAACACAACACAACACACAACACACCACACACCACACACCACACACCACACACCACACCAGCAACCCCCCCCAAGATGCGCTCCCCCACCCACCTCCTCCTTCCCCTCCTAACCCTCACCCTCACCAACACCGCCGCAGCCCAACAACAACAACGACAACAACAACAACAACAACAACAACAACAAACTCCCCTCCTCCCACCCCACCATCCTCTGCCCCGCCCCATCCACCCCCGCCCCCACCACCTGGCCCGGCTACGCCTTCACCCTGCAATACACGCTCAACTACGACTTCCTGTCGTCGCAGCCCGCGGCCGCCGCCCAGATCTGCCAGGCGAGCGGGTCGATAGTGGACTACGCGGTGGGCTCCAGCGCCGATTCAGCGGCATTCACGTGGGGCATGGAGGCGGTGTCGGACGAGGTGGCGGCGGGGCTGGGGTACGTGGCGGCGACGCTGGTGGTGCGGGCGCCGTGGGGTTTGCTGGAGGAGTTGAATGAGCAGGTGGGCAACGCGACGGCGAGGTTGTATGGGAATCCGGATGCGCAATGGCGAGGCAGGTGGCGGAGCAGATTGATGATGCGTTTGGAGGTTGTGTTGAGTAAGTTCGGTTTTTTTTTTCTTTTTTTTTTCTTGTCTGCTGAGGTTGGTGGCGATGGCTGACGAGGTGACTAGAGGAGAACTTGTAACCTCTTGGAGGGAGTATTAAAGAGGTTGCAACCCTGGTCAGTATCAGTTGTTGGGTGAGTTTCGTTAGACGGGGCTTCGCTGGCTGGGGTGGTGGGATAGAGGGAAAAGCCATGCAATGCACTCTAGGTGTTGCAAAATTGAAAAGCCATCTAAATTTCAAAAGCCAAGCAAACTCCTTCTGCCAAACCTTGATATACACAGACATCGACTCCGTAACCTGGTGGAGTTGAGCAATATGCCTGTGCTCCCAAAACACATTTTCCCTCTTCTACAATTTCGTATATTACGCCTCGTGAAGCCTCCACTGCAAACTTGTGGTTGCCGCCATCGTAGCAGGTCGAATCTAAACTGGGGCATGGGTGAATAGGTACGAAACCGACTCGCCTGAAACACGGTTAGCATCAATGGGTAGACAGAAGGGTTAGGTTAGTAGATACCATTGTGGGTGCGGCGGATGGCCTATTCCAGGATTAGCAATTAAGGCACATAGGGGCAGCAACAAGACGAGAAACCTACCTCTGCGATGGTGGGGCTGATGTCAATAACACGCAGCTTCGGGCACTGAGAGAGGTCAGCCAAGGTTCGAGCACTAGATACACAAAACACTTACCCGATCGACTTTGTCTCCAAGCGGCACGGTGTTTGTGACGACGAGAGCCGAGAGAACACTGCCATTTAGGGTTTCGATGGCGCTGCCAGACAAAATGCCATGGGTGACGAGGGCGAGCACAGACTTGGCACCATTCTCTTTGAGCACTGCTGCCGCCTTGACGAGGGTGCCACAGGTATCCGCCATATCGTCTTGAGAATGTCAGCATCAAATCCCCGAGTAGAGACTTAAAGCCAGGGAATCAACTTACCAACCAGGATAGCAACCTTGTCTTCGACGTTGCCGACAAGGACCTGCATTCCCTCGTTAAACACTACTTTGAAGTTTGACAGCACACCATTCTTACCATGCGGCCGACAACGTTAGGCCGGGGGCGCTCTTTGTGGATCAGTGCGAACGCAGTGTTAAGGTGATCAGCAATGGAGGTCGCACTTCGCATCGTCAGCCATAACGGTCCACCGCATTGGGTGTGGAGACTGACCGCTTCGCACCACCGGCATCAGGGGACACAATGACGCAGTCTTCCGGGTTGAAATTTTCCCTGATATAGCGGAGGAAAGAAGGTTCGGCGTACAAGTTGTCCACTGGTCAAAGTTAGCCATGAGGTTATTGAGTGGCCGGGGCCGGCACATACCTGGAACGCTGAAGAAGCCTGCACCAGAAATTTGGTCAGCGTCGTTTCTTCACAGGCCGTCGAGGTTGTGAAGAGGAAGCAGATGGGGAATGTTTGTGTCATACCTTGGATCTATGGCAGATGTCAGCGTGTGCTCGTCCTCACGGTAGCATCGTTTCTAACTTACCTGAGAAGCGTGGAGGTCCACAGTTACGATATCTGGGCTGTCGGTTAACATTCGAATAGAAGTCGGGGGCTGAGGCAGAAGGCATACGGTTGGCACCGGCCGTGGTCAGCATATTTGCAACCAGCCTTGCGCTGATGGGAGCTCTCGACTGAAATCCAGGTTAGCCGGGGCCCTGCACGCGTTTGTAACGGATATGCCGTACCTTGTCCTTCTTGTCCTGTCGGGCGTAGGGGAAGTTGGGGCTGCTAACGTCAGCAGCAGTTCCCACGACTAGCGGCCATCCATCAATCCGATATCGCCCGAGGCGAGACTCATGGGGAGCTCACATAACAGCTGTTATCCTCCTGGCACTACAGAGACAATGTCAGAAACCGGTGCACTCAGCGCCAGTGTGCGCCCTCCTACCTAGCAGTCCGACAAGCCGAGATCATAATCAACAGCTCCATTAGCCCTTCGTTGACGTCACCCGTGGCGGTGGATTGCACAATGAAGACATCCTCGTCGCGGACCGACTCGCCGACGGTAAAGGAGGTCTCCTGGTTCGAGTAGTTGAGGGAGATGGTTCGGGCGACTTCGATGCCGAGTCTGGAAGCAAGCGCACGTTAGCGAAGCCGGACGGGTAGAGGCGGATGGTCTCAGGATTGAGAAGTCGTCTCGATGGTGCTCGTGAGCGAAGGAATCGGGTTCGGTCGTACCGCTTGGCGATCTTCTCGCTCAGCTGGGGGTGGCTGCGGCCGCTGATCAATTTGATCTCGTTTGCCATCTCGGCGGACATGGTGAGAAAGAGAGCGAGCGGCTGCCGGACGACAGCACCACTTGAAGTTTTTCTTGCTTCTTCCTGCAGCTGTTAGCGGGGAACGGATTGCGGGGCAGTGACAAGGGCTGTGACACGTACAGGGGTTGACAGGTTCACAAGACGTTCACGCTTCGGGTGGTAGCAGGACCGGAGTTCTGGGGAAGATGGGGGTGGTAGGAATCCAATTCGAGCTTGGAGAACCACTGGCGGCGACGGGAGACACTGACTTGCCCATACCGGCAGAAAAAGTTGAAAGAAAGCAGGGTGGAGATGGTCTAGGCCGCGCTCCTCGAGGTACCTGGTCGGTGTACCCGCTAGCCGAGAGTGACACCCTGGTGGCCTTATCGTTATCGCAACAAACCGCCTGTCCTCGGCTGCATGTGGATCTGTCAGCGGAGCTCAGTTGCCGGAGCATTGTTCAGGTGTCGTCATGACACAGGCATCAAAAACACCCAACATTTGGCTTGGCGTGCTGGCGTGGTATGCACCTAAAGGTAAAGGCAAGGTCAGGTTAGGTAGGGAGGCATTTTCCAGGCTATCACAACCAGAACTTCCATGACAGCCGAGGGTAGTAGATGTGTATTTGAGTGGCTTCATATATCTAACTAGGGAAATTTGGCGAAAGTCGGCTGGCTAAGGTACCAGGCAGAACGAGCGTGGGATATTTCATCACCAAACGGTTTAGAGAATGGCAGGATCGCGGCCCTTAACCTTTGGCTGACAACCTGATCCCTGACCATTCCCAGATACGGCCTCATCCAGTGCATCCAAGACCTCCTCCCCCGTCGGGCCACTAATCTTGACACCTTCAATGGAGGCTTGGTCATCACCATCCTTCTCTCCCGTTGCCACACTGCCGCCAGTCTCCTCAACCTCCAAACTCTTCACGCTGCTCGCCTTGCTTACCCCTTGGCTGTCAGGGTCCTCCATCCTCAAGCCAAGGTGCTTGTCAGCCGTGGGGTCCTCGTCATTGCCCCCCTTCCAGTCAGCCGCCTGCATCTGTGGCACGGGGCTGTCCTCTCCGGGTTCGTTGATGGCCACCCCCGGGGCAACCTCCGCTTCTCCCTCTGCCCCCGGCCTCACCGGCACCCACCACACGCCAGACCACGGCCAGCCTGTCTAGCGCCCTGGTTCCTCTCCGGCTGGAGCCTTTGATGCCGTCCATCTTGTCCCAGTCGATCTCGAACACGCCGCTCTCATCTGCCTTCCCGTCTTGCTCGGGGCCGTTGCCTTCGAAGAATGTGTTGAACCAGACGTGTGCGACAGCCGTAACCATAGTCAAACCGACACTGGCGGGGGCGCGGTTCCGCCGCTCGACCGAGATGTTGATATCGCTATTCGGGATGCGAAGTGGGTCGGAGGGTTTGAAGATGACCGCTTGTCCGCCGGGCTCGGAGTCGGCAAAAGAGACGCCGTTTTGCAGGTTAGTAGCCGACTGGGAGTGTGGTTCGCCTTTCCCCGGGGGAGTAGTGCTTGTCGACGAGGTCTGGGAGGCGTCTGGCATGGCAATGGTCTTGCTCTTGGGGCCCATCTTGCCTAGCTTTTCGAGGTTGGGAGATGAGCTTGGTTTGCGGCTCGATAGTTTTCTCATCAACCCTGCGGTCCGAGACCCTTTGAGTTTCTTTGAGGAGCTTCTAGAGGGGCGTTTCCTCCTTGTCGTTGCCATTTCCGTTGTTAGCCGCTGCCGCCCCCCTTCGCAATCTCCCCGTAATCCTGCCTCTTCTTCCACTTCGCCCGTCTCGCCCACGGCCGCGTTAACCCCATAGCCAGCCATATCCTGAACCATGTCCATCACGCCGCCGCCGCCTGGGGCGCCCGGCTCAACCACAATCCGCTCCTCCCCCTTGAACGTGTGGAATACGTGAATCTTCTGCCCTC